CTGGCATGTGGTGCTGGGGATCGAACCGCGGTCCCTGTGCTTTGCCAAGCTTGTTTCAAGTAGGTGCTTTAGACCACTGAGCCATCTCTCCAGCCCCTGGTCTCTTGTTATGCAGAGAAAAATCATCAGGATTCCTCTAGGACAAAGACAAGAGTCTGGTGGTCAGTAGATAACTTCCTTCAGACGGCACTAACAGGCACCTCTGTCCTTGGTCACTGCACTTCCCTACATCCTGTGATGCCCCAGCCCACTGTGCAGATGTCTGAGTCAGAGGACAGGGAAAGAAAGTGTATGGGGTTGGGGATTAAAGATCAGGTCCTTAGAGAAAGTTGGTGGCCCCAGGGAAATGATCGTCTCCTACCTTTGCCTCACAGGAGCAGCAGCAAGTGCCTCACACATTGTCCCTCCAACTCTTTCATGACAGAGAGACAAGCAGAGACTCAGATGTTTGAGGTCTCACCTTGAAATATGGACTCATGTGCTTCCCATGAGTGGAGAAAAGGTCCTACTTTCACAGCTAGCCATCCAGTCCCCACTTCTGAGTCTCTTGGGGTTTTCCTGTGCTGAAATTAATGACCGCACCCAAATAGCTTAAATGCCATCCAGTGCTCTAGAAGTCAGGGGTCCCAAGTAGATTTCACTGGCCTGCAATGAAGGTGTCAGTAGATCACAATGGAGACTGGAGTGGAGACATCTGCTTCATGTTCTGAAGCTCCTGGAAGCTCCTTCTACCTTCAGAGGCATCTCTAGTCTTTTTCTGACTCTCACCTCCTGCCCTCCCTTGGAAGAACTCTGATCCCTTGAGAAAACTTTGGCCGCCTGGAAAACCCAGAGTTCCGAACTCCACAGCAACATCTGGGGCCCTTTCAATTCTTTCCTCTATAAGAACACACTGCCGTTTGGCAGCTGGCCTCCACAATGAGTCCCCAAAGCCCCTCCTTTGGTCACATAGGCAGGATCTCCTTGAAGACAGTGCTGTGTTTCATTTCCCCCCTGCAGTGCCCAGCCTATGGTCACACAGACCAGGACTGAATCGAGCAAGCTGGTGGCTGCAGGTGCCCATAGCATGTCATATCCTTCCTATCTCTTATCCTGGTCAGGCTGGGAACCTATGGCCACAGCACATTCAGGCTGGGAACCTATGGCCACAGGTCCCTTACTGGGTCCTCCACCTGGTTCCCAATGCACCCCTGCCATCCCCTTCCTTGCGCCCAGCAGATGAAGGCAGATAGCATGTACATCCAGGCCCATGGCCAGAGTTTCCCTAGACTTCTTTCTAACCCTTTTCTTGGGCTGGTCTTTCCATGTCCAGTAATTATGGCTTTGGTCAAGAGAGAGGAGGCTGTGGCACCCACCCCTCTTTGGTCCAGCTCTAAGATCCTAGGAAGATCAAGGTAGGAGCACTCAGAGGACCAAGTTTGAAGCTCCTTAAAATGGCAGGAGGATTGGGTAGCAAATGGCAAGAGAAAGGATAGTGTTCCAGAACCCTAAGCAGGTACCAAGAATACCAAGTCTGGGCCCCTACAGGTCTGGGCTAACAGTTGGGCTGTGCTGGGTCAGATAGGAGATCACTGAGGCTGAAGCAGGGCTACCCCATAGCCAGTACTGCAGAAGTGTCTTTGGATGCTCAAACCTTGGATTCAGTCAAGCCTGAGGTCATTCTGTGGGCAGAGGCAAGGGCCTGAGTTCAATCCCTGGCTCCGCAAAAAAAAAAAAAAAAAAAAAAAATAAAAATACCTGTAGCCTTGCCAGGCAGGATTTCCATCACAGGCCTATCTATATAAGCTGGCTGAGACTGGCTATGGCTTCTCAGAAGGGTCTCCTGTGGCTGGAGGGGGCTGGGCAAGGGCTCTAGGAAACACCTGCATCACTTTATCCTCGGGTCCCTGTTAGGAGTCCTGTGGCTTCTCTCCCTTCTGCAGGGTATGGTTGCTGGCAGAAGTCTGTGCATGTAGCACACAGAGAGGCAGGATGTCCTCTAGAGAGGCCTACTCCAGAACTCAAAATAGCATGAAATTTAATTTTCCACCTATTTGACAAGGCTTGGACCTCAGGCCCCAATCAGCAGCAGAGATAAGGTCCTCGGGCTCAGGGTGTGGGCCAGCTGGGCCCAAGGCAAACACTCCATGGTCCCCCAGCAGGCTGTGTGCAGGTGAGGCTGGTCTGTAGCACTCCCCCCGTGGGGCCCTGGTTGCTGGGTGCTAAAGCAAACGGGGTCTGTTTGCCCAGTCTGTGATGACAATACCGTCGCCAAATATTTGCCAGCCTGGGGAGGCTGCAAAGCCCAGCTATAAATGCTTGAGCCCAGGTGGAAGTAGGACTGCCAAACGAAGAGATACGGCCTGGTCAGGTAGGAGCAGGGCCTGGGGTGGGCTGGGAAGCTGCTGGGGTACCACAAACTGGGGGCTAGGAGATCCTTGCCCAGAGTTTCCCAGACTCCCTCCTTCTGCATTCCCACTGGATACTTCTTATAACAAGGAATCCAGCTCAGCAACGGAGGTCAGCTCAGAGTGGTCAGCCAGATAGGGTGGCCCCAAGTGGCTCCCCTCCTCATCACTACCTAGCAGCCTCAGGAAACAGGACAGGCAGGTGCCTGAATCACCTGACCCTGAGGAGCACCTGTCCCCCAGGGGTTTGGCCCTCATTCCCAGGCCTCCTTCACAAGCTTAGCACCTTTACTCTCTGTTGTAGAGGATCCAGAAACTCTCAGCTAGATGGTAGGAGCACCATAGCTGTCTCCAGTCACCTCTTTCTTTGGGTCCATTCCTTCCACCATGAAGGTGCCTTGGTGCATTCTTCTACTGTGTTATATTAAAACCTAGGGTCATGCCTAAGGCTGAATGAAATTAACTGAGTCAGGAGGGCCTCATAGCTTCCCACCCTCCCAACAGCAGCCACAAGGGGTCTGTGCAAGGGCAAGGTAGTCCCCAAGCTACTATTTTTGACATCACAGTGACCCAGGCTAGGAAGAGCTCAGTCCCCCTCCCCCATTTCTCTGGGCACCACAGCCTGGGAAGACCCCTGCAGTGGTAGTTTCTCTCTTCCCTCTACTATGTCTGGACTGAATGACCACAATTTTAATAATTCTAGTCACACAATCTTTTCTGACCCTACAAGATGAGGCCTGGCTGCTCCTGCAAGGACTAGACACCCCCCTGAAATCCATCCCTGTGCCTTGCAGGCTCCCCTACATTACTGACATGTTCACTTTGAGCAGCTGCCTGCCCCCTATCCCTGAGCTCAGCAGCATCCCCAGGGGAGCCAAAGATCCCTTGAGTCCAGCAAGGCACTGCTAGCCCTAACTGCTAACCTGCTCCTCTGCCTCCCTTCTCAGCTGGTGTGTGCCACCCCAGAATCCCCCAGAGTTCAGGGACAGCAAGGAGATGGCTGCTGGTGTGATCCAGCCACTCTGTGACTTCCAGCTGCCGCTGCAGTCCCATCAGCCCTTCCTGCCCTCTGAACCAGAGCCCCTAGAAACTTCTGAGGAGGAAGAGGAAGAGGAAGAGGAGGAGGTAGAGCAGGAGCTGGAGGCTGAAGAGCTGAGGGGCTACAGGCTGGACCCCCAGAGCCCAGAAGTGGCCCCTGAGGGTCCTGACAATGCTGAGACCCCACAGCAACTGCTCCGCTTTTCCCAGCTCATCAATGGTGACATCCAGCGGTACTTTGGCCCTAAGGACAAGGGGCAGGACCCAGACTCCTGTGATATCTATGCTGACAGCCAGCCAGCCAGCTGCTCTGCCCGGGAGCTATACTACGCTGATCTGATGCGCCTGGCCCAGGGCAAATCCTCAGAGGACAAGAAGGCCATTGACTCTGGGGTCTGCTCAACTTGGGTGCTAGAGGGGCCAGCATGTGGTTCTGCGGATGGGGTGCCACCACTGGGACCCCTGGCTGAGCTCTTTGACTTTGGGCTACGGCAGTTCCCAGGACCTAGCACATCTGTTGGTCGAAGGCTGAGACTAGAGCGGAAATATGGCCACATCACACCCATGACCCAGAGGAAGTTGCCACCGTCCTTCTGGAAGGAGCCAGCACCTAGTGCCTTGGGCCTGCTCCATCCAGGAACACCAGACTTCAGTGACTTGCTAGCCAGTTGGTCAGCTGAGACCAGCCCAGACCTGCAGGGTGGAGGCACCCAGGCCCTGGAGGGAGCACAGCTGGCCGAGGCCTAAAAAGTAGACAAGAGTCAGGAGAGCACTAGGAGAACATCAAGGGTTGCCCCAACTCTCCTTCCTGTTCCCCAAGCCCTCTCCCTTCAGGCAGCTTCACAGCTAGCTCACCAGCTCAGGCAAAGCCTCTCTAGGCCCAGGGGCATAGGCTGGGCTTTTGCTGAGGTCTGAACCTACAACCATCAGGGCAAGGAGTCGGGAACTGTGGGGCATCCAGATCCAGGCCTCGGCCCTTGGCCCCAGAGCCTCCATAGCACAGGGCACTCAGAATTATGCCCACAGGAGGAAGGGACACAGGCAGAAGCTCCCTGAGGCCATGGGCCTACATGCTTAAACCTCCTTTCAAAGAGGTTTATACCCTGCCAGGCCAGCCCCTCCCCGCCCCAAGATTCAGGTCAGTGGCAAGGGGATACCAAGAGGGGCCCATACCAGGCCAGCCCTCCACATTGTTCCACAAAGCCAGAGCCTATGGCCCCTGGGCAGGTGGCAGGGCCATAGACTAAGGGATAAAACATGTTTTCTTCGAGGAGAGGTAGGGAGAGGGGTACTGCCTGATTATGTGAGCAAACATGGCTGTTTACCCCCAGGTTAGTGCCAAGAAGCTGCTTCTACCAGTGCTGGATCAGGCGAGGGCCCTGGCCTCAGGTATGCAGCTTCTAGGTGTCCTTTCCCCATATCCTTTCCATGACTGAAGTGCATCCAGTGGCAGGCCTAGGTCCTCTGTGAAGAGTCAGATGGAGTACCTTCCTGGTGCAGTGGGTTTTCCAGACCACCATGGAAATGTGGCGAGGCAGGGCAGGAAGGAGCCCAGAGGGTGAAGGACTAAGCACTTTGACCTTGCTCCTTCCCACTGCTCCATCCCAGTCAGCCCCACAGGCCCCTGGAGAGGACACTGGCAGCAGGCAGCAGCGACTATGGCTCCCACAGGTATAAGAGCTAACACATTTATTTCTGGGGGAATTACACAGGTGTGGGCTGGGGCACAGTATCCCTGTGGCCAGTCTCTGACACTGCTTCTGGCCTCTGCTGAGCCACTCGTTTCAAGAGGATGGCCTTCCACTGAAGCCACCTGCCAGAGAGACCACTCAGGTCCAGACCTCCTTCGACCAATTTCCCTGTGGCTGGCCACTGCCCTCTTAGAATCCCCCAGCTCCTCTCCTGGATCCAGAATCTGGGATGTCAAGCTTCAGCTGCTCACCTCATAGCCTGATAGATGCCCCAACAGTTCATGGGAACCTGCTCACCAGGGGCCACATCTTTGATGAAAAATCGCTGCCTCACCAGGGACATGAACACCCGCCTGCTGCCCAGTGTTAGCGGCCATGGGCCCTCCTCGCTCCACAGGTGCAGCATGCTCTCCCGCAGGGCCGCTATCTCCTCTGAACGCTGCAGGATGGACACAGGGGCGCCAAGCAGGGGTGGGATGGCCGCTGGAATGTGGAAGTTGATGACAGGGCAGGGTGGGGGAGAGAAGATGGCAAACAGAGGCTTATCTCCCCCTTATCTTCAAGGAAAAGCTCAGCATCAGCCAGATACAGTTTGTGGACTCTTCTGGACCCTCTGGGAAACTAGAGCTGGAGGATTCAGCTAGGCTGGGACAGGAGAGGGTCAGGGTTGTGGGCGCCTCACCAGTTTGGTCTCTGTATTAAACTTCAGGTTCTGGATGGTCTTGTTGGCCTGGATGCTGGTTTCTAACTTTATCATTTGCTTCTGAAACTAAATATAGCCCCATTTATGACACAGACTGAGGATCCTGCTAGGTTCCAGCTGCCATGAGTCCCAACCCAGAATCACTGAGCAACTCAGAGCTCATGCAAGTGGTGGGCACAGTGGACTCCCTGGGCCCAAGGGTACCGTGGCCAGGTTGCCCTGGATTTCTGCAATCTTCCGCCCAGGGTTGTTCTCCTTGAGCAGCTGCACAGATGACAGCAGAGTCGCCAGCTCCTGCCGCATAGCCCTGACCTCGAACTCTCTGTGGGCATGGAGGACTCGCTATGCCACATGACAAGACCAGCAGAGAGGAGACTTGAGCCACAGTGGGGTCCTCAGTGAGTGGCAGAGGGGAGATGAGGGACCATACAGGCTGCATCACAGGGAGATGAGCCTAGAGTGGAGCTGGATAGCCTAGGGAGGGGATGGAGCCACCACAGCACCCAGGAAGTTGGGGAGAACTGTGGAGACCAGCACAGCCCAGAGATAGGCACTGGAGCTCCTGACTTGCTCTCAGGAGTGCTGGAGGCCAGCTGATACCCTTACCTGGCCTTGCCCTCTGCCAAGATCTTCAGGTCTGCGTCACTCTTGTGAAGGACACACTTATCTGAGACACCTTCTATCTGCAATGTGGAGCACAGCCAGTTCCAGGCCAGCTCAGGCCCAGCAAAGATAGCACTGGAAGGGGTGAGGGGAAGTGGGGGGGAGTAGATCTCTGTCTTTAAGACTAGTTGTGCCCACCCAGGCAAAAAGCCTGCCTCCAGCCTTCACCCACCTGTTGGGGGAGACGGTCTACCTTCTCTCGAACCTCCTGCAGGTGGGCTGCAACTTCCTTTCGCCACAGGGCCAGGTCCTCAAGGGATTTCCTCTCTAAACCTTCCCACTCAGTCTTTGCCTGGGATTCAGACATCCAATAAGGTGGGCTCAGAGCAGAGGGGTGCAAAGGTGGATGGATAGGGTAGATAGGGCTAAGTAGAACCCAGCCACAAGGCCATGGGAGGCAGGGTGATACACTCCCTAAGGGCAGTACCCCATGTCCACTCTGATTTTGAGCACATTGATACACAGTCCAGGATGGAGAATAAACACACTGAACAGGGGCAAGGCAGTCCTAGCTCCTCCTAGACATGGCCACTAGGTTGAGCTTAGCCCTTTCCCCAAGAAGGCCAGCTACTGCCCACCAAGAGCTGATAAGAACAGGGACAGAGGGAAAGCTGGCCACCCTGAGGAAGCACAGAGGCTAGGCGCAGGGGCCCTACTGCTGTTTCAATCACACTTATGCCCTGAAAGGCTGCAGGGCTGGCCAGAGATCCAGCCTCTAGACCAATGGTGATGCTCACAATCACGGCAGCACTAGTCACAACAGCCAAAAGAAGAGCAGCTTGTGAGTCTATCAACATTCAAGGGCCAGGGAGACGGCTCAGTAGAATAAGCGCTTCCCTGGCAAGAGCAAGGGCCTGAGTTCAATCTCCAGTTCCACCAAAAAAACAAAAAACAAAACAAAACAAAAAAAAACAAACCATTCAAGTAGGGAACAAAACGTGGCCTGTCCACACAAGGCAATGTCATACAGCCATCAAGGGAACAAAACACTGGCCCACACTGCAGCAGGGGGACCATGAGGACATTATGCCCCATGAGAGAGGTCAGAAACCAAAGGCCACACACTACATGACTTCACTATGTGTCCAAAACATGGAAACCATAGAGACAGAAAGTGTGTTAGAGATCAAGAAGGGCTTGGGAGCAGGTGGGGAGACTGTTGATAGATCTGATGACAAAGTGCCACACTGCAGCAGTGGCTGCACAGTGTGAGACCACACTAAAACCACTGAGCCTCACCCTTGGGGGGCAAGCTTCCTGGGGTGTGAGTCTACATCTCAATAAAGTTGTGCTAAAAAACAAGGGAAGTAATGCCTCACTGTGAGCTGCACAGGCCCCAGGGCTACTTAAGGCAATGGGCAGTAGCTGTAGGCTCTCAGAGGGCTTTAGAGCTGGAGTGGGCAGCGGCTATGGCAGGGGCCACCTTTCATTGAATGGGTCACCCAGGCTTGAGGACAGTCACTGAATTGAAAGCTCAGACTGGCTGGAGTCATCTGGCCTGGGGACAGCTGCCCAGTGGCCAAGGACAGCTCAGTTCATCTTTTCAGAGTACCTTTCCTCTCAGGCTGTATTGGCACTCACCTCAGACAGCCTCAAGCCTAATGTCTGCTCCTGCAATTCCAACCTCCAGCTCAGGGCCAGGCAGTGCTCACCCAGGTCTTTCAACTGCTGAGCCAGGTTGGCTACTGATCTTTCTAGGACCTGGCTCTTTTCTTGGAGCTGCCAGGGAACAGAAAATGAGTCACAGATGCCCTGACTGGGGGTTTGTACCTATGCATGGGGGTCCCTATCACATACACACACCCACTTAGCCCCCTTACCAGCTCCATTGCACCTTGTGTCTCCTGCCGGGACAGCTTGCTTGCCAGCTGTATAGCCTCCAGGTTCTCCTGCATGTAGGAGGCCAACTCCCCAGCCTGACTTTCTTCCAAACCCACCTTGGAGACCCTGGGGTTGGTGCCACACAGACTTTCTCAGTGAAGGCTGGCCAATCCCTCGGTGCTGGGCCCAGGAAAGGGAGCCCAGCTATTAGCTCCAGAACCTTCTAGGAATTCCACAAATCAGAGGACATGGTATTGATATTGGTACCATTAAGAGGGGTGGAGGGACAAGAGCCCCCTGACAGAGAGGGAACACTACTCTGCCTTGATACCTAGCACTCTACTTGGGCCCACTGGAACAGGGGTGGGGGTGGGAGTGGGGGGATCATTCACTGCTGAGCTGGGCCTCTGTCATCAGTTCCTAGATGACAGACTGGGTATTTCACACAGCCCCACAACTCTCTATGGTCTGAGGATACACACCGGGCCTTCTGCTCCATCAGCAGGATATGGCTCAGTGACATCTGGTTCTGTCGCACGAACTTGGTGAGACGAACCACAGCTGCATCCAGACCCCGGCACTGCTCCCGCAGGCAGCCCTCTTCCTCTTGCTGCAGGGAGCCAACCCTGAGCCTCAGTGTCTACCCTGGCTCCACCCAGCACCCAGAACTCAGGACCCACCTCACGCTGTCCCCACAGGGCCTGGACACGATCTTCGGTCAGTTCCTGCAGCTTCTGCCAATGGTCCTCCAGCTCCTCCCGCAGGCTTCTCTCTGACTCCAGCCGTGTGCCTTCCAAGGCCTTCATTCTCTGTGGAGACATGGCCACTGGTTGAGAGTCTTGTGCCTTGTCCAGTTGTGCCAGTGCCACAAACAGCAAGGTTAAGCATGCTATAAGCCCCACCTGCTCCAGAGCCAGGAAGCTCTTCTGTAGGAAGCTGCACAGCTTGGCCTCCCTCTTCAGAAAGCGGAGGCTCATCTCTTCTCCAAGCTTGGTCAGTTGAGCCTGGTGAGGAGCCATACAGTCACTGCCAGCCTGCCCTTTAGATACTCTTCCTGTCCCTCTTCTTGGTGTCCCTGAGGTTAGATCATACCTCTTCTATGGTCCCTTAGCCCAGCTGAGCTGGGTTTGCCTCACTCTGGGTAGGAAGGTAGGCAGGATGAACTGGAGCCGTGAGGACCAGACTCCTGGGTCATGAAGGGCCTGAAGGCCAAGCTCACATGGGTCCAGATATGCTTGGTACCACCAAGACCCACAGATGTAGCCAAGGGGCTGCAGAGTGGATACCACATTCAACCCAGGTTAAAGACTCAGCCAGGGGCTGGTGAGATGGCTCAGTGGTCTAAAGCACCTACTTAGAACAAGCTTAACAACGCACAGGGACCACGGTTCAATCCCCCAGCACCACATGCCAGCCAGACCCGCCCCCTGGTGGGCTGAGCTGGCCACACACACACACACACAAATAAAAAAAAAAAAAAAAAAAAAAAAGACTCAGCCAGGGAAGAGGGTTTGAATGTGTGAACACCTTTACTCATATAAGAACACCCTGCTGCATGTGACCTATTGTGGGGGGACCTACTCCTTCCCATGGGTGCTATCCTGCTGCCTCCTAAGTCTGAAGGCCCGAAATGGGGGGATAGAGGGGACAGCCAGCTCTCCAGCTGTTTCATAGGGCCTAGACCCTTTTTATCCATGCCACAGGGCTTTTTTTCTATCGGTGCCAGTATTCAGGCCCTAGCTGGGGCTGGGAGACCTACCACAGCCTCCAGCCTATGGCTATCGTCAGCCCTCATTCTGCTCAAAAGCAGCCACATGGTTTTTTTTTTTTTTTTTGGTACTGGGGATAAAACTCAGGATCTTGAGCTTGCCAGGCAGGCACTTATACCATTGAGTTATCTCCCTGGCTGAGCAGTCCCATGGGACTGCTTCCCCAACACCTAGGATGCTGGGAATCATCAACCAAATGCCTCTGCCCTCCCCACAGAGCCAATTCGTTAACTTCTACCCGGCAGTGAGAGGGGACCTGGCCAACTCTAACCTGCAGAACGATGGGGGCAGCTGGGCACCCACCACCCTGTGCCCTGTCCTGTGAGGAGCTTGGATGTACAGCAGAATGTCAGGCTATTTCCAGAGATGAGAGGCTGAGTCATGGGGATATGTGGTGGTACTCTCCCACCCAACTCCACAAAAAGGCTCCTCCTAAGGGTCACCGTTGCAGGGGAAACTGGGTCCCAGGAATCTGCACTTCCCACAGATGTAAAACACTGAGGCTGAACATGGGCATAGGAAGAGCTCTAGTGCTCTGACATGGTCTTCTGAACCCAGAGAGAGAGGAAGAGGCAGAAGCAACTGAGGTATCTGACCACAGCCTTCTGTGATAAAGAACCACCCCTAAAAGCCACACTGCCACTAGCCATGTGGCTGCTGAGCACTGAGATGTGGATAATATGGACAAAAGATTAAATTATAAATTACCTAAAATTGTAGGAAATGTTAACAGGCAGTGCCACTATGGTGGGAGGCCACCACACTGGACAGGGTAAGACCAAGGTCTTCCTCAGTTCCACCTATAAGGAAATCCAGCTGCAGGGAGCTGCACTGATGGCAAAGGTATAGGTTGGAGACATCGGAGTCTTCTCCCACACTGTTGATGGCCTCTGCCTGGGCAAGCCATGTCTGCCAAATTGTTACCTGCATCTTGGCCACCTCGTGGTCCACCTTCTGGCTGGTTTCCTCTTGGCTCTTCTGCAGAGTGCTGCAGGCTGCCTCCCGGGCCTGTTCTTCCTGTCTCAACCACCCAGTCAGCTTGACGAGCCTAAGGGCAGGCAGGTGGGGTGACACCAGCTCAACTGCCTGGAGTCCCAACCTAGGTGGCCACAGGAAGGCTGGCTGGGCCATGGGACATAGTCCTCCTCAGGCTAGGGTAAACAATCCACTCAGGAGGAGCAGACAAACCTTGGAGTCCAGTGAGTGGGACTGTAGCAGGTTTAACGTACCTCCAGAAGTCAGTAGCTCAGCACTGAGGGTAGGGAATGCCCTGTTCATACTGCTGCCCCACATGGCTGTGATCCCTACCACGTGCAAGCAGTGTGGAGCCAACCCACCTGAGGTTGGTCTCCTGCTCGGAGCCCTTCCGCTCTGCATCCTGCAGCGCCTGCTTCCTCCTGATCTGGGCCAAGGCTTCTCGGACCTCCACCAGCCTAGTGCACAAAAAACGCTATGCTAGCTAGGGCAGGCTATGTGGTCTCTGGGGCAGTGTGTGTGGGCCTACAGCCCCAGAGCCAGTGCCCTGCCACCTCCAGGAGTTAGATTCAGCCTTTTGGAGTCAGATCATACATGGGTGTTGCACATAGAAACCTGAGGCCAGTGCCTGGGCTCCAGCATGGCCCCACTCCCTTTTCTTCCTTTTGAAGCCTATGTCCATGGTGTGTGTGGAGGTACCTTTTGTCCAGGATCTGCATCTGGTTCTGGTTCTGGGCCCCAGGGAACTGTAAGGAGGAGGGTGTGGGGCTGGGCAGGCTGCACCTGCCATCCACCCTGTATCTCTCCAAAACAAATGCAGGTGGGGGCACGGAAGGCAGGTTCAGGGTCCAGAAGGCAGTGGCCCCAACCCCGAGGGAAGGAAGCCTGGTCTGTGGGTGGGGAGCTCACCACCTGCATCTCCTTCTCAGGGACTTGGACCACACGCTGCATCTCTTGCCACAGCTGCCGGAGCTCTGAAGATTGCAGCTGCATGCGCCCACGAACCTGCAGTAGCTCCCTCAGCAGGCTCAGAGAAGCCTGTTTACAGTGCACCTTGTGTCCCCGTAGAGACACCACCTCAGCCTGCAATTTGGCCACCCTGCTCAGGGCCAGAGTGAGTTATTCAGGCTGGGCTCACTCTAGACAGGACACAGCCCCCACAGCCCTCCTGCCCTCCACCCTTCGGGCTTACCATTCCTCCAAGTGCTTGGAGGTATCCTGCTCGTGGGGAGGGGTACTGGACACCAAGGGGCTGGACTCAATCCTCTCAGAGTTCTCTTCTAGACTCAAGGGCTCAGAGCTGGCCAGACCTTCTACCAGGAGCAATTCTAGGTCCTCGAGGGTGACAGTGCTGGTTTGTGAATGGGGCGACACCTCAGACAAGAGACTGTCAGCCAGCTCTGCAAGAAGAATGCCTTTAGGACTCAGCCCTCAGGGCAGTGGCTCCAATTGAGGTTTGCAATAAGGACCCAAATCATGAGTCACACTTGTTAACCACCTGAGTCACAAACCACGCATCTGGTAGGTAGGGTCTCCATCAGAGGTCTAGGACCCTCCCTGCCTGAGGACATACAGCAGAAGGCAACAGAAACAATCAGTGCTCTTATCTAGTCAGCACCAGCAGGTACTTATGGGGGTTGATTAGAAGAGTTGTCTCCTGTGACATCAGGCCCTGTGGGCCTCCAGCTTACCTGACATGGCTTCAGCAGCCCTCATCTCTGGCTTTAGCCTGAACCCAGTGCCCCAGTAGCTAAAGTTGGACACTGCGCCAGGGCAGCTAGGGGTCGTGCTGGAAAAGGACTGAGGAAGTTGGCTGGAAGGCTGTGGCGGCTGGGGAAGTGGTAAGATGATAAGTTCTTGCCTTTACATCTTGTCTCCTCCCCAGAGGATCCCTGGGAGGTAGGCACAGTTGGGCAATAGGGCTATTCTGGAACCATCCTTTCCTTACCAGAACCTTGTGACTTCACAGCCTAACTGCCTGTGAAGCCCTCACCTGCCCCGAACAGACTTCCCAACTGTCATTCCTGGAAGGATGTGGGATAGAGCAGTGCTGTCCTACAGAGCATCCTTCAAGGCAGGACACTGGTACTGGCAAGCTCAGGAGGGCAAGAGCCCAGGACAGAACAGGAACCCTGACCTTGAAGCCTACTGCAGGCCCCGAGGGAAGAAGGCCAGCAGCCATCCGAAAGGAGATGCTGCCAGAGGACTTCCCATTCTCAGCAGCCATACCCACGAAGTCAGGAGAGATGGGAAGTTAATTCTGATTGTTTTATTTAACTAATATATCCAAAATATCATTTCAACATGTAATCAATACAAAATAACTGTGAAACAGAGATTGTACATGCTTTTTTGGTACCATGTCTTTTGAGGCCTGGTGTAGTTTTTCATGCCCTTTGGTCCAACTCTAACACAACCCTTCCCCACCAGAGCACCAAGAAAAACAGTAAGATAACTGAGATCTGGTCATGTAAGAGAAGAGGAACCTGCACCTAACCAGGGCTGCCTCATGCTTTACCTGTCCCTTGTCTCAGCCCTCCCCATAAATAACCAGATCAGGCTGTGAGAAAACCTCAGTCCTGACAACTGACTATATCCAATCTGTTGGGGATGGTTGAACTATCAGTGGAAACTAGAAAAGAACTAGAAAGAGGAGCCAGACAGAAGAACAGGGTTATGATGAGCAGAGACATGGAAGGGGAGCCAGATAGGTGGGTGAGGAGGGACAGAGACTGGGATGGGTACAGGGTTGGAAAGTCAGGTGAAGTGGCAGACCTATCTTGAACTTCTGTCCTATAGGGCCTGTGTGTGGTATGGTGTTCTTTGGGGTACTACCATGGGCTGCAGCAGTTCACAGAAGGCCCAGTCCTACATACCCACTACCATCTGATTAGCCCCCAAGTCTCAGACCCACATCCAGGCCGGGTGGAACCAGGAGGCTGCACTGGTCAGCTGTGTTCAAGTCCTTTATTTCTCATACCCAGAATCCAGTGTACTCTGTCCTACATTCCCATAGGAGCAGAGCAGAAGGTGTGTCCTGGGGGATGGGACCACTGGGCAAATTTGCCAGCCTCCACACATCTGCCAGTCTTGTGCAGCTGTATGACAGAAAAGTGTCCTACAAAGTGTCCTGTGGGAAGGGGCTGTGGTGACCAAGATACACCAGATCTAGCCTAGTCCAGTTAGGAGCTCTGACAAACTGTGGGTAGGCAGGCATGGCTTCCTGGACCCAGAGCTCACCAGTCTGTCCAAAGCTACCCAGAGCTGGGCCTAGGTTTCCTGTGAGGCCAAAAGCCACCCCCAGTAATGTTTGTATTTTATGGCTGTCTCAGTCAGAAGGGAAGTCACAACTGATGCCATGGTCTTCCGGTGTGGAGGATAACCCTACTTTCTCAACTTCTGTCCACAGGAATAGTGGGCCCAGCTCCAGAAGGCTCAAGGTGTGGCAGAATCAGGTGTCAGGTACTTAGGTGATTCTCAGCTCTTGAGACCCTGGCAGAGAGCACATTTCACGTGTCCTCTGTCCAAGTGGGGCTCCATGGAGTCAGCTGCAGGCCCTGACTGCTCCAGCTGGAGCCATACCTCAGGCCCAGGAACCTCAGGCTGTGGATGCCCAGAGAGATGGGTCAGGGCATGTTGGCTGAGAAGGGTAAGCCAGCTCCTGCGTAGCCTGAGCCTCCTGCTGGTGTTGCAGGCAAGTGTGGCCTGGTAGGGCAAGTACCCATGGGAAACAATACAGAAGCAGTGACAGGGTGCAGGGCACAGTTCACCTGCCACACACATTGGCCCCCCTTGCTCTCTCTGGGGAAACAGGGGGTGCTGTTTGTTGCTGCACACAAGTGATCAAACCCCTAAGGGGCAGGGGGTGAGGCCTGAGGGCCAAGGGAAGGACAGAAGATGCAAACCAACTGTCCATGATGAGGGTCAGGTACATGCCATCAGGCCCACTCTGGAGGACATTTGCTCTAGCCACCACACCTTTGGCTGAGATCAGGGAGCCTGGGAGTTGGCGGGGGTGCCACTGCCCACCAAGGAAAGGCCTCACCCTCATGTCTGGGCCAGCGAGAGCTCCTCCAGGCCTCCCTTCCCCAGACGATACCTGGCTAGGTCCTTCCTGGTCACCAGCCCCACCACCTGCAACATTGAATCAGGGTCAATACTCCACCTGCCTCTAGAAGTTCCTGTACCCCCACATTACTGGAGAAATGGGGAACCCACAGGGATCTGGTACAGGGTCCCCTACGAAGTACACGGATCACTGGCCTCACCTGATTGCAATTGTCCACCACCACCAGATGTCGTAGACCCAGAGCACGGAACAGTTTGAACACCCGAGGGAGGGAGGCCTCCTGCAAGGTGGGCACAGCCTCAGCTGTAACTCAGGAACCAGACCCCAGACTCTGGCATACTTCCTGGCTTCAGGATAGCAGTATGTATCCTGGGCTATCTCCTTCCCTCCATGCCCTGCCTGCCTGGACCCAGTGTGCTGCCGCAGAGCTTCAATGGCTGTCAATGCCTAGTGATTGGACAGCCCCCTCCCAGACCACCCACTAACATTCTGGCCACATGGCTCTGCCTGATGGCCTTGCCTGATACCTGGGGCACAGTGTAAGGGGAGGGGTTCATGAATTCGGACAGGTCCATGGTGCACTCGCGCTCATCCTGTGACACATGGATGGACTGGATTGGTGGGAAGCGTGGGTAGGCATCACGAAAGTCCTTCAGCCGCAGTCGCCGTTGCACCAGGCCCATGTTGGATCTCTCCACAAACACCTGCAGGGCCAAGGGTTAGGCTCCATGGGGTGTCCCCTGCTCTCCCCCACCTCTCTACCCATTGCTGGTTGGTCTGGCACCTTGTGCTTCAGGAGCACGATGAGCTGGGAGCGCAAGATCAAACCCTGGAGTCGGGCTGGCTGTAAGAGAAGGAGGGATTAGAGGGAGCATTTGGACAGTAGCCCCAGACCACAGCTGCCTTCTCTGGCTACATGCAAGCCCCAGCCATGGCCAATGACAGCCTCGGTGGAGCACTAACCTTGCTGTAGACACCTGAAGTACACAATCCCATTAAACCCTGTAGGACCTGAGCTGGGGCAACGTGGTGCCAAGATGAGGCACTTGTTGGTGGTGAGATGCAGCCCTGGATGCAGTCCCCAAATTAAGCCCAAACTACCAGTGATAACAGTGATAGCAGGATAGGACCTGGGTGAGGAGATGCAGTGGTAGCTGGGCTCACATTCTGCCAGTATCTGCTGACAGCCATAAAGGTGACAGCTGACCAGCCTAGTTTGATCAGGAGGAGCACAGGAGGTCTGTGTAATCCATGGAAGCTCTCCCATGGCCAGCATGGGCACACAGCTGTGGGCATAGCTATTCTCTAGTGAGATTTTACTCTGCACCTAAATATGGAGCTGACACATTCACACAAACTGCACAACATGCTTCCCAACCACAGACCACAGAGGAAGGAACCTCAAGGCTACAGGGAGGGCTGTTGGTACCTGAGTGTTGTCTGAATCCTCTACCACAGGGAAGCCATTGTGGTTGGATGCTGTGTTGCTGAGGACATCCACAATGACACCCACCTTCTCTCTCCTCCTTAGGCATGTCACCGGTGTGCTCATTACCTCCCTGAGGAGATGCCAGTGCAGTCACCAACACAGACAGTTGCTCACCAGGCACAATATCTTCCTCAATAGCCTACTTTTGTACCATGACAATATTCATGGCAGGTACATAGCTGCTAGATTAGAAAACTGGAAGCTAAGGTGCACCTACACCAAAAGCCAGCTATGGACTAGCCATGGGAGCCAGAAGGCCTTCTGGTAAAAGAAGGTAAAACCCATGGTAGAACCCATGGTAAAACCCTTCCCCTGCAGCCTACCACTCACCATCCCCCACAGTGTGTCATGGACAGGGTGGTCATACCTAGCAGTGAGTGAGTGTGAGGTGACGGGAGCCTCCCAGTGCAGGAAGGGCACACTCTGCAGCTGGATGTGCATGTCATACAGACCCTAGGGGAAGACACCGTGAAGCATAGCACCAGGGATGGCTCAAGATGCACTGTGCCTGTCCCACCCAGGGAGGCCATTTAGGGTTGGCTTCACAGGGGCTCCCTCCCCTCTGCAGCTGCTGCAGGCCCCACAACCCAGTGTCAGGATTCCAGGCCCACAGGGTGGGGAAGGTAAGCAGGGCTTCCCCTCTGTGCACCTCAATGAAGACATCGCCCACAATCTTGGCAGTCATCAGCACCAGCATGATAGGGAAGCCGTAGGTCACATTGCTTGTAGCCTCCATCATGATGACTGTCAGGCTCAGGGTCATTCTCACAATGCCACCTGTTGGAGTGGCCATGAACCCCGTCCCTCCCATATACTGTGTCCACATTCTCTTTGCAGCACCATGGCTGCCTACTTGTCCCTTTAGGCCTCAGCTACCGCGACAGTGACTGCCTGCTATCATGTGGCCATGCCATCAGGCATCAGAGGACTATACCTATCTCAAGCCCATTGTCTGTGTTGCCTTTTCCTTTTTTTTTATTTTCAGCACTGGGAATTGAATCCAGGGTCTTGGAATTGAGCTATATTCCTAGGTCTTTTTTTTTTTTTTTTTTTTTTTACTGGGGATTGAACTCAGAACCCTGCACTTTCCAGACAGGTGCTTATTCTACTGAGCTGTCTCCCCAGCCCTTTTTTTTTTTTTTTTTTAAATTTTGAGACTGTTGTTAAGTTCCCCGGAAGGGGCTCAATCTTGTACACTTCCCAGAATGCTGGGAGTGGAGGAGCACACTCCTATGCTTTGCTCCATGTTGTTCATTTAAATGGAGAGCTGACTCTCACCAGGCCAGCCCTGGCTGCACCCACCACAGGGGTGAGGAGGCAGGTGTCTCTTCCTGACTTGCAAAGCCCACCCACTACCCAGGCCAGAGCGAGGACTCACCAAGCTGGGCAGCAGCTCCCATCAGGGCATACTTGCCAGGGTCTGCCCAGATCTGCAGGTGGCAACACAGGGAGACATCAGTAAGGTGCAGGGCCCTGCCAAACCTACCAAGATATATCAGGCAGGATGGCCAGACCCAGGCCAAGCAATCCCATATAAGCCTGAATCAAAAAATCTTACATTTCACCATGTGCTACAATCAAAATACAGAAACAGTAGTGCAGGTGTGCCTCACTTGGAGAGAGTAAAAGAACTGTGGTCCACCATGTATACCAGAGAATGCAGCACATAAGGCTATGCTCTCTGCATTATGGAGGCACAGTGACAGCTGCTGCATACTGTGAGGAAAGCTGGGCCCAAGTGCACACAGAGCACCACTGTCTGTGTGGACACAAACAGACCTCTGTGAGGAGATTCCAACACACATCAGGACTAGGATAAGCCTTGAAGACGTCCTGCTCAGGAGAATTGAGGAAGAGCCTGTAGGCCAGTATGGGCAGAGCAAAACATGGAGGAAGGCAACAGGGAGGCTGCTGATGGATACAAGGGTCCTTTCTGGACCAAGACTGTATCTAGAAGGAAACATGGCACACATGCCCATGCAGGGTGGGGTGGGATACTTCCTGCCATACCCTTTTCTCTGGTCATGCTAGGGACTGAACCAAGGGCATCAGGCTTGCTAGGTGAGTCTACCACTGAGTCCTATCCCCAGCCCCTGTGTCCCTTTCTATAATTTTTTGGTCCTGTTTGATGACAAAAGTAAAAAAATAAAAACAGAGAAGATAAAAACAAATCCTCAAAGGAGCTAGAAAGAGGAGGGAAGCTGAGGAGGCTGCCCTCCTGGGTAGACATGGTGTTGTGGGCAGCCTATGCCTAGACACAGGCCCCGGGACAGCAGGCCCTGGCCACAGCTAAATGGCCTCCAGTGCTTCTCACACTATTTTTTATTAATTCTCTTACTAATAGCAAACACCATCATCCTCACGTTTTTGCAACACCCTGTTCTTATGAGCATGGCCATTGGATGGAGGATCACAGAGACCAGTCAAACAATGGGGCTAATAGCCACCTCCCACCAGCTCCCCACTTACTGCTGCTCCTGTAAGGTAAGACAAGGAGATGCCGAAAAGCCGGCCCCAGGCAGCCCCAATGAGTAGAGATGGGATGAAGACACCAGCAGACACAGTGAGTCCGTAGGTCCAACAGGCCAGGAAGAAGTAGACCAGGGTGAATAGGCCCAGGGTCATGGGATTGTAGGAGCCTAGGGGAAAGCAAAGCTACTGAACTGCCTGCTAGACTCATGCCCCTGCAGGGCTGTCCCATCTGACCCAGAAGGTCACATCCTGGGAACCAGGTCATCTAAGCCCTGATCACACAGTGGCCCCATACCCTCCTCAGTGAAAGAAAGGGGACGCTGTGGAGCAGGTGGCCTCATGTGGTACTGCAGGTGTCAAGTGGTCTAAGCCCAATGCCAGACACATTTACACTCACTAGAAGACCCCTGTGTCAGTTCATCTCACCTGCCAAACTGACTGGACTAAAGGTGACTGGTCCATGCGGTTACCATGCTCCTCACTGAACTAATTCACTGATATTCAAACCCAACTGTGCTATTAGAAGATGGGGACTGCCTCATGTGGTAACCATGCTCCTCAGTGGACTAACCCACTGATATGCAGATCCAATTGTGCCATTAGGAAGTGGGGGCCAGCTGGAGAAGGTGGGCTACCAGGGTGTGCCTGTGGAGGGTATCTCTCTGACACCTTTTCTCTCCTCTGCTTCCACTATCATGAGTGCAGCAGCTTTGTTCCCCCCACGTCCCTCTGCCATGATGTTCCACCTCACCTCTGACTCTCAGAAATGGAGGGTTGGGGTTATAGCTCAGTGGTGTAAGCACCTGCCTGGCAAGCACAAGGTCCTGAGATCAATCCCTGGTACCGTGGGGGTGGGGGCGGGGGCGGGGGAGGAATAGAACCAGCTAACCATGAACTGAAACCACAAGCCAAATGAACCCTTTCCTCCTTTAAATTGTGTAAGGCATTTCATTCCAGCAGTGGGAAAGCTGACCAATACAGGCTCTACTACCTTAGAGCCTTGCCTCAAATACCACCTGGGAATTGGGGTGCACACTGTTGAAGGCTCTTGGCTCTGTAGGACTTGACACCCTAATCTCAGGTCAACCAACTGAATGGGGACAGGCCTTCCCTCAAGCTGGAACTTCCCAGGTTGGTTCCTTTGGTGCAAGGTGGTTAGCAGCTCATGGAAAATGCCTCTGTGGCAGTGGGCAGCTAAGATTTGTTTTGCTGGGCTGAGGCTGCAAGATGTGAACAGGACACATCTGGGTAAGGTACAGGGCCCAGGAGACCCATTCTTGGCCACCATGGGATCTCCAGCCAAGCATTAAGGCCTGGGGGTTTGTTTTTCCCAGACAAGCTGCTGAGACAAATGAAGCCATGTGGAGAGGGGAGTCCTATGGTGGTCAGAATGTGGAGATTGGGACAGGCATTGGCTTGTATGCTGAGAGCACCATGGCATAGATAGATCTCAGTGCCAATAAACAGATCTCAGGGTCAGGAAGGACAGAGGACACACATGGAAAGCTACTCATTGCATGCTAAGTGATGACAGCTAGGAGACATATCCTGAGGTAAGAGCTGCATATACATGCAGGCTACCTGGGGTCTTAGGTATCAGTCACTTCAAACAAGATCTGGGCCATCTCACCTCACCCTCAAAAGGTTTGTTAAATCCTGTGAACCAATCCCTCTCACACAAACACACAGCTAAGGACAGGGAAGTCTTCAGCAGCCTTATGACAAGAAATAAAAACAAGGGTCAAAGTGGGTTTGATCGCCAGTACTCTGGGAAGCCAAGCCAGGAGGATTACAAATTTGACTCTAGCCTAGGCAATTTAGAGAGACCCTACCTCAAAATAAAATATGAAGAGTATAAGATGGCTGAGGAGATAGCATGGCAGTCTAAGTACCTGCCTGGCAAGTAGGTTTTGTTCCCCAGTACTGCATGCTGTGCTGTGCCAGCCTGGAACCCTGGGCACGCCATACTGGCTACTGAAACCAGGCATGGTGGCGTACCCTGTAATCCCAGTGCTGGGGAGGCTGAGACAGGAGGATCACCACAAGGCTAAGCTGCGTAGTGAGACCCTGTACCAAATAATTTTTTTTTTTTTTTTAAATAAAGAGTACAAGATGGGCCATAGTGGTGTAGACCTGTCATCCCAGTATTCAGGAGGCTGAGGAAGGAGGATCAGTGTGAGCTCAAAGCGAGTCTGGGCTATACAGTGAATTTAAGGTCAGCCCAAACTACACAGTAACACCCTGTCAGAAAAGGAGAAAGAAGGGGATGGAGGAGAGGGGAAGGGGAAGGGGGAGAAGGAGAGGAGGGGAAGAGGAAGAAGAGGAGGAGGAGGAGAAAAAAAGGAAAAGGAAAGAAAAAGCTTCCAGGTGGCCCAGATGCACGGGAGCTCCAGAGCCAATTTTATTACATGGCATGAGGGTTGGGGGCTTTATAATCAGGCACATGCTGTTTTTTTTTTTTTAATTTTTTTTTTATTTTTATTTATTTGAGAGAGAGAGAGAGAGAGAGAGAGAGAGAGAGAGAGAGAGGGGTGTGTTTGTGTGTGTGTGTGTGTGTGGCCAGCTCAGCCCACCAGGGGGCGGGGCTGGCTGGCATGTGGTGCTGGGGGATTGAACCGCGGTCCCTGATGCCTTGCCAAGCTTGTTCTAAGTAGGTGCTTTAGACCACTGAGCCATCTCTCCAGCCCCACATGCTGTTTTTGTATGAGAAGTGTGGCTGGAAAAAGCAGTGGCTCTGAGTTATCAGGCTGGGTTTTCTGACAATGCAGCATCCAGTGGGAGTAGAGATGGAGGCAGACCCAGAAAAGAAGAAAGTGGTGATGATGTGGGGAACCTGGCCAGTTCTGCTCTAGGGACATGGTCTCCACTTGTATGCAGGATTATAGCATTCCTGCAGTGCTCCCCAGCTGACAACAGGGCTGCCAGCCTCTGTGTTCCAATATACACCTTGGTACCAAGGATACCCCTCCAGCCTGGAGGAGCAACTTCTGGACCAAGAACCTGCCCTACCATCACCCCATAAGCCAGCAGTGCTGCCCAGTACATACCAGGTGGGTCATGGAAGAGGCTCACCACACTCTTCTCTGGGGTGTTGAAAAAGGCTGCAGCCATAGAGTTGTACTCGCCATCTGCACAGAAGAGCTGTAAGGTCGGGAGAGAGGATACAGTGGAGGGCAGATGGCCCATGTGTTATGGAGACCTCGTGTTGTCATCAGGGAGAGCTAACTCTTATCATCTAGGCCAAGAGGGTGTACAGCACGACTTGGGGGAGGGAAGTGACACAAAATCTAGATTTAAGTCCGGACTGCAGAGGTATGTCAATCCCTGCTTGAGGATGGCCAACTGGACACTTGGATGGACAACCCACCTATCCCTGCTGCCTGGAAGAAATAGCTGTTCCTTGAGCAAACCCCTAGAACCAATATCAGATGCAAGGCCCTGTGAGCCAGCAAGCCCAGCCCTCCCAGGCAAAGGCAGTGCTGGGGCTTCAGCAGGGCTGGACTATAGCAAAATTAGCCTCATCAACCATGGCACCAATGAATCCCAGGAGCTGATGAGCCCTAGCAATCTGTTCATTCCTGACCCTACCAGGCCTCACTCCCTACTTTGCACTCCCAGTCCTGGCCACCACTCATTGCTTCCTGTCTCCACAGAGGCCTGCTTTGGACACCCTATCACTGGAATCATGAACAATGCAACGCTTTGTAGACTAGCTTCTCTCACTGAGTATCATACTTCTAAGACCCACTCATGATATGGGAAGGTCATTACTTCCATCCTGTGACTGAATGTCACTCCCTACAAAAGTGGATTAAGGACACTTCCCAGTTTGGATGACTATGAATGAGCTGCCACAAATATCAACTATGGTTTTGTATGGGCCCAAGTCTGCATTTCCCCAGTCCATACCAATGAGCACCCATCTAGGAAGATGCAGTCTCTGCCCTCCTAAGCCCCAAACCTACCTGAAGCGGGTAGGACATGGAGTTCCCCTGCAGAGGCTGGCAGTCTCGTGAGGAATAAATCAACACAAAGGCAACGGTAGCTGTGACAGCGGCCACCAGGATGGCCTCAATCACCTGTAGGCAGGGCCGGTGGATGTACCTAAAGTCAAGCCAGGACAGATTTTGCTACAGGGATGAAAAGGCAGACTTCCTGGAGATTCCTGAGGCAGCTTCCATGGCAACCTGGATCACAGGATATTTAGTGAAATGACACAGCACGTGTTTAATGATCAGCCTGCCCAGACTGCAGGATGCACCGTGGTTATCTTCCTTGGGTGAAAAAGATTTCCCAGAAGCAACCATCTCCCTGGTTTTCTGCTATGGGACAAGATTTCTGCTTCATCCTACCCACTCTGCAGTAGCCCATACAATAGTGCAAGATCAAGAAGTTCTTCTGCAACCCAAGATCCTCTCCTAGTACCAGGATAGCTCAGAAGGTGGGTATAACAAAGGACAGCTCTGTAAAGGTAGACAATGGGATTGCCTGGCAGCCCCCAGGTGGAGGTTGTGTGATAGCTAAGGCAGAGCAGTCCCGGACCCACCCAGCTCCCTGTTCTTCTACCCAGGGCACTGCCCTTTAGATGTGGAGTTCTCACACTTTCTCTGAAGGGTCCTCCAGCCTAGGGATTGCCTGTTCCCCTGCACAGAGGTTGCAAGTCCTGCCTTATGTGCTCTAAGCATCTCAGTCAGGTACAAACCATGTCAACATAAAGCTTCCTGCTCTGGCCACAGTGTAGAGCCTATAGCACAGCATCCATTTCAGAGGCCCCACATGGTTATGCATGTCAACATAGAGGCCCTTCCTCACCTGATTCGAAACATCGTCAGCCAGTAATTCAAGGCGTTAAACACAGCTCCAAGAATGCCACCTGTGATCACAAAACAAACTCATATCAAATACATAGGGGAGGTGAAGGCCCCAACTCTGCAGGCTCTCCAAAAACAGGAAGTCCCAGCAGAGAGCCCCACCGAAACAATTCTTCTGCCTCTCTCATTCTGGTGCTGCAACCTTCCTTTTAGAGAAAAGGGTTTTTACAGAATAACACAGGTTGTGCATTCCTAACCAGGAAATCCCAAACCTGAATCTCTGAGCACTGACATAACCCACAAGTGGAAAATTCGACACATGTGCTCATGTGATAGGTCACAAGTCAAAATGCAGGAGCACTAAAAATATCACACAAAATTATGGCTAGGTGTGGTGGCACATGGCTATAATCCTAGCACTCTAGGAGGCTGGAGCAGCAGGATCACAAGTTTGAACATAGTCTGGGTAAATTAACAAGATCCTGCCTCTGCAGGGGTGATGATCACTGAGTCTGAGGTCAGCCTTAGCTATAAAAGCAAGTTCAAGACCAGCCTGCACTATATAGCAAGACCTTCTCAAAAACAAAAAACAAAACAACCCAGTCAGGCATTGAGGGGTATGCTTGTAACTCCAGCACTCTGGAAGCTAAGGTAGATTACCAAGGATCATCACTGAGTTCGTCAGCCTAGGCTCCATAGTAGGTTCAAGGCCAGCCTTAACTTCATAGCAAGACCTTGTCTCAAAAAAACAAAACAAAACTGAAACAAACAAAAGCCAAAAAAACTATAACCCTACTTCAGAAAACAACCTTCAGGCTAGTGTAAATGATACTTACGAATTTTGTGGTTAGACATGCATCCTTTCACCAAAATATTTAACTGTGTATATGCCATTATTTAAAAATACAGAAAAATCCCAAACACTAAACCACTTTTAACCCCGAGCATTTCAGGTCAGGACCCTTACCTCATAGAACCTGTGCCCTGCTCTACCTCCCAGGTGCCCACCTGTGTGAACCGGGGCTCTGCTAGTGGGGAAGTGATGACATGACACAAAGCCTGTGGCAGTGGAAGAACTCTTAAGAGGTAGTGCGCATGTCCTCCCCAACCCAGATTTACACTCCAGTCCATCCTGCAGTGAGGTCCCTTACCCACCACGCCCATGGCGATGAAGACGGGAATCTCATGGATGGTGTAGGCCATTTTCTGTGTAGAGGGGAAAAAGTGAAGGCTATGAGGGACCTTGTCCATGGCTCCCCATGATCTGATTTGTCCATGAGAGCCCTCTAGCACTTTTGCCCAGGACTGTAGAGGTCCTGTGGATAGGAGAAATGGGCATCTTGAGCAGCCTTCAGCCCACTCTTAGCATGGCTGGTTTAAGCCACAGCTCCTACAGATCAGCTGGCACTCAGCACATGGCCAGCTGTCAGTCACCCTGGCCCTAACAGGCAGGTCCCTATGTATTAAGTATTCCAGGACCTTTGCAGCTTGTAATCAAGATCTAGATTCCATAGCTAAGAGTTAGAATTTCCCCCAAGATCTAGTTAAAATCTGACTTAAGTAAAAAAAGGTTCTAGTCCTGGCACCATAAGGGGCAAGGTACGATAGGGAGGGCTGGTTACCTCAGAGTCAAATCTTCCAAAGTTGATGAGGCCTGGACTGGACAAGTCCCACACATTTCCATGGTAAATGCTCAGAACAAAATTCAGAGTGAAGGTAGAAATCATGGAAGCAAAGAACTGCAGCAGAGAGAAAGAAAAAGAGAGAGGCCAGTGTGTCAGAGAGACACTATGGCTAAGGCCACTCAGCATCCTGGGAGCTGTAAAGAAGCCTGCCCAGCTAACTACCCAAAGCCAGGCATGGGACGCCTGTCACTGAGGAGCCTAAGTCTGGACACCTCACCCAAGACAGAAGGAGGGGGCTGGAGCCAAACAGGCTGTGCTCCCAGCATGGTTGGGCAAAGGGGGTCATGCCCCTTTGGACAGACAAATGCTAGAGACAAGACAATGAAGGATAACAAGGTAAAGTTGTGGGTCTGGGGTCCCTATAAACCACCCAAAGTTGACAAGGACACCTAGGACTGAAAGGAGAGCTAATGAACCCATGAGGGACATGGCTCTACAACATAAACAGGTGGGCTGAGTTTGAAGTGTCCACTCTGACCAAAAGATGGCTGTCAGCACTGGCTGACCTTGGGGGACACAGAAACCCTGGCTGGGGGCTGTTAGGCACTTACAATCCTCCATGTCAGGAACTGGTTCCAGAAGGAAGCTCCTTCCTCCAAGCTGAAAAGCACTCCACCTGAAAGTTATCAGGAGGACTGGAGTGCCAACCTAGTCACAGGGCATCTGCACCCATTACCCTCTCCCACCCGAGACCCCAGAGACTGAGGCCATGGCCCAGGAAGCCATTGGGGTGGGACCTGGTCACAAAGGGAGAGGCTTCTCAGAAGTTTGAGGGCCAGGCCTGGACATGCTGCCCAATCCTGTTGGCCTACACCCTGACAGGTACTTAGTCTGTAAGCACCTAGCCTGACAGGCATGAAGCTCCCTAAAAGTAGAGCCCAGCCCAGGTGAGTTGGCCCCTCCTCACCCACGGGGGCTCCAAATGCAGCAGACACTCCAGCTGCAGCTCCTGCTGAGACAAAGTCTCGCTTCTCTGTGTCTCTGCGGAAGTACTCAAAGATCTGAAACAGGAAAAGAGATTCTATAGAGGCATTCCTCACAGGATGAGAGGTCAAGGACAGGTCAGCTAAAGGACAGGAGGGCTAGGGATGTGCTCATTTCAGCATATGTGCTCATTTCAAATATGAAAGTAGGAGAGCTAGGAAGGGGTTTTCTCCATGATCATAATATCATTCACTATAGATGTGTGGAACTTGCCCAGAAGATGCTATAGGTGAGGGGCCGGGGAGATGGCTCAGTGGAATAAGTGCTTCCCTGGCAAGCACAAGGGCTCAAGTTCAATCCCTGGTTCCACAAAAAAAAAAAAAAAAAAAAAAAAAAAAAAAAAAAAAAAATGCTACAGGTAGCTACAGCAGGTCATGGGCTAAGAATATCTATGTTTCCAGAGACAAGAAAATGAGCAGAAGTTTCATTTGCCAGAGCAACTCAGGTCACAGAGACCTGAAGAAAACCATAAGCAGGGCATGGTGGTGCACGCTTGTAATCCCAGCACTTGGGAGGCTGAGGCAGGAGGATTGTTGTGAGTTTAAGGCCAGCCTGAGTTACAAAGTGAGCTCAAGGTCAGCCTGAACTGCATAGTGAGACCCTGTCTCAAAAAGAAAAAGAAAAAGAAAAAGAAAAAGACAAAGACAAAGACAGGGCTGGTGAGATGGCTCAGTGGTCTAAAGCACCTACTTAGAACAAGCTAAGCAAAGCACAGGGACCACGGTTCAATCCCCAGCACCACGTGCCAGCCAGCCCCGCCCCCTGGTGAGCTGAGCTGGCCACACACACACACACACACACAATAAATAAATAAATAAAAAATTAAAAAAAAACCAAAACAACAAAACAAAGACAAAGACAAAGAAAACCAAGTAACTGAAAAATCTACACTATGTAGTTCAGGCCCAGGCTGGCCTTGAACTCATGGTGATCCTCCTGCCTCAGTCTCCCAAGGGCTGGGATTACAGGTGTGCCCATCACACCTGGCTCTCTACACACTTGCTTTAAATTTTGAAAAAGTATTGTCTACTAACGAAATGTTAGGCACCTCCAAATTCAAATAGAAATTCATCAGAATGCAGGTAACTTTGTGGAGAAACAAAACTGTCTCAAGTGTATCTAGAAAATCAGAGTTAGAGTCCACCTAGGGTTCCAATCTTCCTCAGGAGAATGTCTCCTGCGAAGCTGGTCAGAGCCATAATACCCTTTAACAGAAATGCTTAACACACACATACACACACACAAAAAAGAAAAGAAATGCTTAATACATACAACACCAGCATCAAAGGACGGGCTATGGAGAGGCCATGTGGAGCTCAAGTGAAGGACCCACGCCCATGGGCCAGGGGCAGGCTAGGTGGTCACTGGGTAGGGGATGGGCTCACCCTGGCCCATCCTGGAAGCATGGGGTGAGACCCACCATTCCTGGCAAGGCTGTGTATGGGGCAGGAACCCAGGTCCAGGGGATGTTCATCTCCACAGATAAGTTCATCTCTACCTGGGGCAGGCTCACCTTGAAATCTCGCTTCAGTGATGTCGATCTTCCCTGGGAGATCCCAGCAGCAATCACTGATCCAGAGTGGATCATTGGCCCTTCCTGAAAGCACAGAGCAATCAGCACTCAGGGAGCAAGAATGGGGACTCAAGCTGATACAGAGTCACAGATACTTTGTTACCTTTCCAACTGCCAGTCCTCCTACCACAGACAGAATCACGCCAGACACCTTGATCACTAGTGTCTGGAACACAAGGGAAAAGGTGAGTGAAGACCAGATGTTCTCCATGCATTCAAGCAACAGAATCGGATTCAGTGACATGATGCAAGGACACATGAGTTAAAAAGCTCGAAGGCAAGTGCCACAGTGGTATCCTTGGAAGAGGCTTCTAGCTGGCTCTCTTCCACACCCTAACATCACGACAGGAGCCACAGTCCCCTCTACACACACTCAGGGCATCTCCGTGGTAGGCCCTGGACATTCCTCTGGCAAGTGTAGGTCTCTTTCCCCATGCAGTGCTGAGCTGTACCCTGCCCCACTGCCAGTATCTCTGCATTTTTCCCCTGGCTGACATTATTGCATATCAATAACCCACCTCCCTCACCAAAAGGAGTGCTGCGACCTAGGGGCCTGACCTACACATCCCACTGGTACCCTGCCCTGCCGCATCCTCTGTGTGCGACCCCATTTGAACATGTGTTCATGTTCAACAGCAGATCAGCAACAGAAAAGGTAAGGGCTGAGGGGCTGCAATTTCCTTCAACTGCTAGGGACTCATGGTACTTGTAGACAGAAGACTATCACTGGGCCTGGAAAGGTTGAAACCTACGCGACTCACACATCACCCACCTGCTCTCCCACTGAGTCCACAGACTCTGAACAATTGAGGGTAGCATTGGGGAACAGAGCTTTGAGTTCAATTAAGACACTGAGGGAAGCCTTACAAACCCAGCCAGTCAAGCAGTCAGCAGAAAGTGTTCAGCAAAACTTTCTAGAATGTGCCAGCCTGCCTATGTGGTATGTAGGTAACGGGGTCAGATGTCATGCCCAGCAATGCTAGGTCAACCCTATTCAAAAGTAGAGCCAAAACACAGGCTGTGCTGCATGTGGTGGTGTACACATAATCCTGGGTCTCTGGGAAGCTAAGAGAGGAGGACTGAAAGTTTAAGTCCAGCTCAACTTAGTGAGACTCTATGTCAAAATAAATTTAAGGGGCTGGAGAGATGGCTCAGTGGAATAAGCACTTCCCTGGCAAGCGCAAGGGCCTGAGTGAGTTTAATCCCCAGTTCCGCCAAAAAATAAAAAATAAAAAAAATTTAAAATGAGTGGGGCCGGGGAGATGGCTCAGTAGAATAAGTGCTTGCCTGGCAAGCCCAAGTGTCTGCGTTCAATCCCTGGTTCCACAAAAAAATAAAAAATAAAAAATAAATAAAATGAGCTACAAATGTAGCTCAGTACAAAGGCCCCTGTACTGACGCCCACCCCACCACCAAAATTAAGCAAGGACAGGGTTCTCCAGTTGCCCAAAGTATGAGCAACTGCCCCTCCTTGGGCCCAGAAGCACCCTGGGGATGAAGCAGAGCACCAAGGCTGGGACTGTTCAGGAGGTTCAGACCTACCCATCCTCCTACAATGGAGACAGGAAGCAGCTCTGCCTCTCTAGCTCAGAAGACAAATGGCTGTGAACAGAGCATGTCACAATGGCTGGGTATCCAGGAGATTAGGGTGCTACCAATGACATTTAGTATAATGAGTATTAGAGAAAAATATGAAAATAGAGGATAGCAGGGCATGGTGGTACATGCCTATAACTGAGTGAGATTTTGACTCAAAATAAAAAAGGGCAAGGTAGCTAGTTCAATGCAAAGGCGCTGGGCTCAAGGAAAAAAAAGAAAGGTTACTCCTATGTGAATCTGTCAGCCATCTGTGCACACCACTGCTAGCATACAAGAGACTGGGGACAGAGGTAGAAGAGCCAATGGGCAAAGGATGTGCCCTAGAAACTAACACTCAGTAGAGCACCTCGTGTCCTACCTGGGGTTGCTTTGTACCTCACCTTGAGCCGTACTACGTGGGGGATCTTCACCCCGTTGAGGAAGCACTTGATCTGGGGGATCCCACTACCGGCAGCAACTGGCTAGAAGAACGGAAGACCACTGAGCAGATAGAACCCCTCTCCCACCACACCCTGCCAGGCCCAGAAAGATCTGGACAGCCTGGCCTGTGGATAAGGCCTTGTGTCTGGGTGATATGCTCATGTCTCCCTCCCCCGATACAGAACCTCTGAGAGTTAATCATGTAGGACATGGTCAAGGCTGCACATAAAGACATCTGTCTCCAAGGCAAGCAGGGGAATAGTCCAGGATGAACCTGTCACTCACTTATCATATACCAGCAAAAAGAAACTAGAACTTTCTTTGCCTTGGGCCCTGCTCTGAACCCAATGGAAGGTTCTGGATGCTGCCTCTCTATTCTATCTTTCCAAGACAAAGACAAGAAACAAAGAGGGGCCTATGAAGGGGAGAGTCCTGGGAAAAGCCACAGGATGCAAAGTGCCCTCCAGGGTCCACCCCCTCAGGTGGAGGTGCAGGGTCCCACTAGGGAAGGGGTCATCCCGATCCTCTGTTTGAGTGAGTCAGCCCCACTCTTTAGGCCTAGCAGGCAGCTGTCAATACCTATGGTACATCTTGCTACATAGAGCAGGCATAGTCCAGGGTGGCTAGGTAGGAGTGGCACCACCAGCGGTCAACAGGGAGGAAGCCCTGGTATATTTTCAGCTTCTACTGAACAGCTTTTTGTCTATGACATACAATTCAACACAAATCTAGAATGTAATTCTTAACCACCATTCCAGGACACTTGAAGGGGATGAGCTAAAGGAGTCCCCATTTATATACTGAGACCCCACACCCACCCTGGGCCTAAAACACTATGGTTTCTGCCACAGCCACAATACCTCTATAAAGGCCACAATCACAGAGCCGAGGAGCACAAAGGCAGAGTTCAGCGTGGCCCACAAGAGGAGAGAGAAGGACAGTCCACCCTTCTCTGTAAACTTGTCGATATCTGCAGGCTTGTCAAGGACAGGCAGTGGCACCATCCAGGCCCAGGCCCAGACCAGTCTACCTCCCCTCTGCAGTAGCTGAGCCAGTTGCCCAACACAGCACAACACTACCCGATAGCTCAGACACATCTCAACCACTTATGACAGAGGCACAGCCCCCTCTGGGTTGTTATTATTATGCCAGGTTCAGGGAGCAGGACATGTCCCAGCAGAGCTAGACCTACCCAGTAGGGCTCTCCTGCAAGGCCCCATTTCCCACCCACCACGCTGGGCAGCAATAAAGGACACTGTCCTTGATGAGCCTATACTTTAGGCCAGCCAAGTTCTCCACCACGATATCAATGAAGCAGGCCACAAGGCCTGTGAGGATCCCGATGAGGGCACATATGACCCAGCGTTTAATCTCCACTGTTCGGAAAGCCTGTGGAAAGAGATATAATTAGCAAATGTCCTGCTGTAGGCTGCCCTAGGATAGGGGCTCTTTGGATTCCCCAGGCTACCACCACATACAGCATGCTCCAACAGGGACCTGTAGTCCTGACAATTATGGCCAATGGCCAATAGCTCAGCCCCCAGCCAATGTCTCAAGGACCATGGAGCACCTTGGAGCCTCAGTGGGCAACTCAGAGGGAGGTGGGTGACCTTCCCAATAAATTCACAGTTACTGATATTTTAGGTAGTATGTTTGACATCTGTAAGAAGTCTTTAATCACAATGCCCATGATCATAATAGATTCTCCCAATGTTGATGCTCCAGAGGCAACCTAAAAGAGTACCTCTAGGCACTAGAGGTTTGGGGACAGGTGGGGAGGGAGAAGGAGACAGCAGGACAAAAGCTCAGACCCATCTCACTCACTGTGTGGTTGATCCGCCTTTCTTCCTCTAAGAACAGCTGGTTCTCGCTGTTGTCATAGTCCAAACTCTGTGGACCAAGAAAGCAGGGATAACAATTACTGGCTGAGGACAGGTGGTAGGGAGGATGGAAAAGACAGAGCCTAGATCCAAGAGCAGAAAAATGGAAGCTTACCTCATACTTGAGGGACAAAAGCTTTTCATTGTGAGGGATCTCCTTAGGCAAGGGATGGGAAGGTTCCACTTCCTGTAGAAGGAAAAGGCAAAGTCCCACAATTTACACATTAGGTACAGAGGAGAGAGGAAGGACCACTTTCCATCTTACTCTGGATGCCAGCATTATCCTGATAACAAAGGTGGACCAGGAAGTCACAAAAAAAAAAAAAAAAAGTCACCCTGTAGAATAATGCCTCCCATGAATACAGACATAAAAATCCTCAACAAGAGGTGAGCAGAGGGGATCTGGTAATACCAGAACCAAGACAGACTCTAGAAGAGCAAGGTTAGTTTACACTCCAAACTTAACGGATGCAACATGCCACACCAAAACAACAAAGACAAAATGCACATGATTGACCAGGCAGACACACATCAAGATGTGACAAAATCCAACATCTCTTTATGATAAAAACACTCAGCACAATAAAATAGGAGATTTTCCTCCCTGGGCACAGTGGCAGATGTCTGTAATCTCAGCTACTCTGGAGGATAAAGTAAGAGGATGGCAAATCTGAGCCCATCTTGGGCAACTCAGAAGACCTTGTCTCAAAATTAAAAAGGGCTGGGGATGTAGCTCAGTGGTAAAGCTACATGCCTTGCCCTGAGTTCCATTTCTAGCATCATGAGTAAATAAATAAACAAACAAATGAGTGAATGAATGAGCTTCCTCAATCTGATAGAGGCAACTATGAAAATTTAGGAAACACCATGCTCAACAGCAAGCAACGAAACACTTTTTCCCTAAGACGAGAACAGCCTGAACTGCACAGTGAGACCTTGTCCCAAAAAAAGACAAAGAACAACAACAACAAAAAAGATTTATCATATACAGGTACAAAGTCCCTATGATGAATGTGAACAGTATGTATATCTAAACTGTACCAATAAACTCAATAATAAAAAAGAAAGGAATTCAGGATGGAAGAAGTGAGACTGTCTCTACGTGGAGATGTCATGACCTTATATATAAAAAATCTTAACAAACACACCAAAAAACTATTAGAATAAACACACTTCGGAAGACTGTAGAGTACAAAAACTAGTTGTACTTCTATATACTTACAACAAGCAAAATGAGGGCCAGCAAGATAGCTTAGCAAACTAAGCACCTGCTTAGGCAAGTGCATAGTCCAAGGTTTGATCCCCATCACAACATGCCACATGGGCACACTGAGCCAGCCACCAAGACTGAGTATGGTGACAGGAGACCAGGTGTGGTGGCGCATGCCTGTAATCCTAGCACTGGGGAGGCTGAAAACAGGAGGATCACTACGAGTTCAAGCTGCGTAGTGAAACCCGGTACCAAATACATAAAAAAAAAAAAAAAAAGAAAGAAAGAAAGAAAGAAAGAAAGAAAGAAAAGAAAAAGCAAACTGAAAATAAAAATAAGAAAAAAAATCTGTAATAGCATAAAAATAAAATACCAGCA